ATTCCTGCTCTTCCCCTGCACAGAGAAGCCAGGCTAAGGCCTGTCTCTCCCTTCTAGCTGGAAAGCAGGGTGTGGGGAGGGCACTCTGCTGCCCTGATAACCTGGTGCTAAGACAGGTCTGTCAGGGTGCCCCAGGGCCGTGGACCACTTCAGAATAAACCGAGGGCCCCAGCAGGCCCAGCGGGATGAGAGAATGAGACACAGGGTGACAGCTGTGACAGGGGATGAACTGTGTTGGGGACAGTCTCAGTGCAGTTGTCAGTGGGCAGATCTCCAAAGCCATGCTGTAGCTGGCAGAAGTTGGTCCTCTTGCTCTTAGGCTGAGCAGAGACTGACCAAGCCATGGACTGTGGACAGATTGTAGAAGAGGGTGATATGCATGGGAGGAACACGGCGGGGAGGGGCTGGAGAATTTGTTCTGGGTTGCACGTGTCAGCCCCATTCTGGGGACATCTCAAGGTGTTTGCAGTCCTGCATGGGTGCCATGGTCATGGAGACTGTGTGTGCTTAATGCTTTGTATCTAGTAACCCTTAATGTTAGCACAGACAAGCTGGGCAGATCCCCATGTAGCATCTTCGGTCATTCAGAAGGAATTGGGTAGAGCTGGGTCCAGGTCCCTGTTCTGAGGCTGAATCTAAGGCAGCCATGTGATTGCAGGCAGAACTGAGGCCTGGCCATCCTGCGGGAACAGTTCAGTGCTGCTCACTCAGGCAGGGGGAAGGAGTAGCGGAGTCACCCAGCAGGGCCTGGGGCAACAAGCAGCACCAGACTCTGGACCACAGGGAGCAGCTCACCCATGTTTCCCCCTTGCCACCATTTCCTTGTGCACTCAAGGTGCAGGGACCAGCAGCTGGAGAGCTCGGCATGACCATGCAGGAGGGAGCCACATCCCCGCCCCAGCAGGGCACTGACCCAGAGTGGCAGTGACCCAGTCTCACTTGCTAAGACAGTGCCAGCCAGCAAAGACTGGAAGATGGGGAGTGCAGGGCTCTGCAAATGCAGCCTGCTACCCTCACCCTCCATAATAAGGATGGGTGACTTGCTGTATTTCACTGCCCCTCCCCACCCCCCCAACACACCAGATCCTAAGGAGCATTGCATTTTGGGTAGTCTCTATAAGCACCCCAACATGTTAGAGTGAGGGGGACACAGTTAGGCTCCCACAGTGTTGGCCATGCAGCTCCCAGTCAACAGACACTGGCTTGTCCCTGGGAGCGAAGGCAGAGATCCCTAGTATCATGGAGTGTGCCCTCCCCTGGCTGCTGTCACTGTGTGATATGGACAGTGCTGTCTGTGAGACATGACCAGTGGTTGGGCATGATGAGCCATGTGGATCTGCATGTTGCTAGGTATGCATGCCCATGAGGGAGCCCAGGGCTATGCCCCTGCTCCTCCCACCCCAGCCTCGGTGTCTTCGGGCACCAGTAACCTTGAGCCAGCAGACAGGTGGGTCTAACATCTCTCCCCTGCCCTTATGTTTCCCAGGTGAGCGCCTATTTGTGTGTGAAGGAGAACGAAGGGGTTGGATCCACCACCCACAAGAGCTCAACCGTGCCCCGCCCAGCCAAACAAGCGCCTGCAAGAAGCCATGCCTCCCTGGTTTCAAGCACTGGGGCAGATACTGCCTTCCACACCCTGCCCAAAGCCAGCTCCAGCTCTCTCATGGACAGCCTGCAGAGGGGCAGGAAGGCAGTGGTGGAAGGTGCCCAGCCACCCTGGCAGCAGAGGCTCCTGACAGCAGAACCCAGCCAGCTGCAGCCTTGGTCGGAAGAGAAGCACAATCCCAGTAACACTTGGCCCCTGAAGTGTGAGAGGAGGAAGGTGGCAGGGAGGGCTTCCAGCCCCAGGCTGAGAGAGCTGGGAGAGGGACCCCCAGGAAGGGCCAGCAATGCTGAATGTAGTACCATCAAGGCTGCATCTAGTGGCCCCAAAGCTGAAGTCCTGAGCCACAGCTTGGGTCCCAGCAGCTCGCAGCCAGCCACATCAAAGGGCCCTTGCCGGCATCTTTCTCTGGGGTCTGTCCTGAGCCTGGAACTGCCCAAGGACCTTGGTCTCCTCAGGAATGTCCAAGACTCTATTAAAATAGCATGGAAGGAGGTGGCTGAAAGGAAGAAGGGACAGCAGCCCTGTGGAGTGATTCAGTGGGAGGTCAAGGGGCCAGAGCGGGAGGTGAACGATGCTAGCCTGTCAAAGGAGGTGCTGAGCCATCAGCTAACCACCTGCCCAAGGCCTGGAGGATCCATAGAGCCTTCCAGGAAGGCTCTGAATAGTGAGCATAGCACTTGGTTTGAAGAAGTGAGCTTCAACCCAGGCTATGACAGGCAGAAGACTCAGAGTGTTGCTGCAGCCTCCTCCCGAGAGGATGGGCAGAGTCTCCAGGTCCAGGGCAGCTCCAGCGGTGATTTCCTGGACTTCCAAGTGCACCAGTTGTCCCGCATCAGCATGCTACGTGAACAGGCTGGCCAGGAGTGGAACCAGCTGACAGCCATGCTGGGGAAGCCTGGCAGTCCAGGAAGAGTGCAACCTGAGAAGCCAGTGGACCTCAAACCCCAAGTCCGGGAAGCCACCAGGGTAGAGCTCAGGCCTTCTCCTACCAAGCTCTCCAGTGGGGCCCTCGTCAGAGGAGAACCACCACGAGAAAGCATGAAGCTCAAGGAGGACACCCTGGAGGGCAAGCTAGAGGCTGCCCCTGTGAGCAAGGTCTCTGAGGAAAGCCCTGTGCGACTCCCTGGTGGAGGTACAGACCCATTCCCCTTGATTAACCTGGACCTCAGAGCCACCCCCCAGCTCTCAGTTTTGGAGTATGATCTCAGTTACCCACAGCAGAGCCTGGCATCAGCCTCTGCAGGGCCTCAGGACCTGGCTTCTGCTGGACACATGATGGGGTTAGGCCTGTCCAAAGAAGCAAAGCTGCCAGGCTCGGTAGAGGTTTGCCACCCTGACCGTGAGCTGTTTGAGAAAGATGAAGAGGAGCTTCAGGCCATCTGGAGCAGCGTGGGGGGGCACAGCAGGCAGAGTCCCCGAGCAGACCCCAGCATGTGCCCCACCATGGGGAATGGGTCAGACGAGGTGCAGAACCCAGATGTCTCCAACAGGAAGCTCATCTTGACATCAGAGAACAATGTGCTGGTGGCCAAGTTCATGCTGCCTGCCTCTGCCCAGCTCCTTTGCAATCCACAAACAGGAAGAGGCACCGGCGAGGGGCATAAAACTGAGGGAAGCCCGAGTGGGTTCTGGGCATCGCTCCCATCTCAAGAGGGGCATCACGGGGTGAAGGAGGTTGTGTCCCTGGGGTCAGTGGAGGGCACTGGCCCACAGAACCGGCAGAAGCACCAGGAGGAGGACAGAGACCTTGGCAAGGTCAGAGTAGCTGGCTGTCAGTGAGCTGTGTGTGCCCTTCCTTGGGGCTTCCAGGTGCCTGTGCAGACCCCTGCCATCCTCCCTTGACCACACAACTAGACAGTCCCTGCCTTCAGGAGATACCATCATGAGGCCTTGAATGACTTGGTGTAGTGGAGGGTGAAAGGCTGTCCCTTGCAATGTTGGCAGGCTTACCCCTGCAAGAGTCTACTAAAGCCTCGTAATGGGAGGATCTTGACTACACATTTTATGGTGATTGGGGACTGCATTCTGGCTTTCCCTCTAGCTTGCTCCTTTGGCCTTTTGGGTAGGGGCAAGCAAGACAAGGGGACATCTGAACTCTAAGGCCTCCAGGCTTGGGGCTTGCACATAGGATGACTGCCTTGGATTTGGGAGTATCTGAAGCCCCAGGCTGAAGAGTCTGAGAGTGAGGAGACTTGCCAGTGGTAGAGCCATGCAGACTTGAACAACTGAGCTCTGCTCAGTCAATAGAATTTGGAACTGATTTGGCCCCAAACACAAAATTAAAAAAAAAAAAAAAGAACTAGGCAAGCCCTGCCTTATGCTCATAGTCCTCTATGCCACAGTCCCCTGGGGCGGCAAGACAGGCTAGGAGCTCCTTCCAATTCATTCCACCCCAAAATTGGCTGCCCTTGAGTAGCACATGGGGCTTGCATGGCTAGCACCTCCCCATCTGCATCAGGAATCTACCCCAAATTGTACTTGCAACCACCAGTGGGTGGGGAAATCAAATCCTTTGGTATCCTAAGCACAGGCACCTGTCCCTAGAGCTCCCAGAGTAACTGTTAGCTGTGAGTCTGCAGCCAGCTTCAGGGGACAAGATCGTGGTCTGTGAGCAGCACATTGCAAACAGCTTGTATAGGTACAGCCATATGTTTGCCACGTGGGAGTGCCTGCTACAGGTGTGTTGTAATGTGAAGATGTGCTGAGGTAGACACTTGCTGCCTCTGCAGATCCAAAGGCACAGTGTGCCCTCCAGTGGCTTGGCTCACAGAGAGGAGAAAAGAGTGGTGGCTTCCAGCTGCAGGAGGTCTTTCCTGGCTCCCAGAAAAGCGCACTGTGTTTGTGCCACTGGAAGATTCAGGTTCACCATCTGTGTAGCCATTGCATCTGCAGGAGGGTGAGTTTCTGGGCCTGCCAGAGCATAAAAGCACATGCAGGGCTTCCTGCTAATTCCCTGAAGGAATATGGTCTCTCTGGCTGTAGCTGCTAGTGTGTCACATGGCAGGGCTTTGATTAACTTGAGTCTTCAGGGTCTAGAAAAGAACATAGAGCTAATGGGTCAGGATACAAAATCCTGGAAAGGTGGCAGGAGGACAGTATATGGTCCTATTAGAAAGCATATGGCTCTGTTTTTATCTGTTCTCTGTCACAGATCTTGACTATGCCAGGGCATGGCCCCAGGCTCCCCTTTGTCATTGCAAACTTGAGGTTGTCCTGTTGAAAGACAGGAGATCTCAGCCACTCCTGGCCTGTGGCTGCCAAAGGCAGCATCTGCTACAGGCCAGTGGCACCAGTGCCACTTTGCTCATTATCTGTCTCTTTGCAGACTCCCCACAGTAAGATGGAGTTTCAGATGATGGAAGGAGCACTGGAGAGGAAGCATGTGCTGCAGACAGGAGGCAGAAAGGTACAGTAGGAGCAGCTCCACCTTCTCAGCAGGCCCTGGGTTGCAGACCTCCAGCATTGTACACAGGGTGCTTGGGGTAGCCAGAAATGGGGCCTGCAGGCAGGCTCCAATGTGCTGATGCCCAAGTACTTCCCTTGGCTTCTCTTGGAGATGCTGGGTGCTCAGCACACAGTTCATGATCTCAGGGGGAGCTAAGTGGTTTGTGGAGGTGCTAGCAAGTGCTTGCTGTCCCCTAGCTGCCTGCAGTCTCAGCCCAGCAGGCACATGGCCTAAGGGCCTTCCAGATGACAATGATTGCTGTTTCCCAAGCTATGGCCCATAGATTAATCTCAGAGACATCAGCTCTGCACATACATGTGCTGCCTCTCTCTCACACCCTATAACCCGGTCTGTCCTCAGGAACTGCCCTCAGGCAGGCACCAGGGCATAGCCACATCTGCATTGGCCCCTCAGTGCAAACAGGGCCAAACTATGCTTTGCCCTACCCTGGGGGAAGGAGATGTCTTTCCCTGAGGTGAGCAGCCCAGGTTTGCTTCTCTCTGCCTGGGGCCCCATCCTGTTTCTACTGCAGCCTGAGGCATCAGCAGTGCATGCACATGGCTCCTGAGGTAACAACTAGTAGAGCCCTGGGCCAATCCTTTTCGGCACTATTTAGAAAGGGATATCCCTGCAGCTGGGGGGTTGTCCCTCTCTGGTTTCCTGACCCATTTAACAGGCCATCTATAGGACTGCCTCACTGAAAAGCACCCAGTGTGCCATTGCACATTTCTGCTAACCTGGCAGAGCAGGGGCAGCATCTCCACCTTTCGTTGCCTCTGGGACTTGGGGTGGAGCCTCCATGCTGACCTCGCCCACTTAACCATTTGCCCTCACTGCGGTCTTGTAGGCAAACTGTCGCACCTGGAGCCTGTTCCACACTGTGCTGATGAGGCAGACACTGTGCTTCTACCAGGACAGAAAGGACACTCTTAAGGTATATCCAGGAAATCCTCCCTGGCAGACACAGGGCAAACCTCCAGTCTGTTGGTGGGGACAAAGAGGTGCCTAGTACTTGGAGCAGGGAGCATAGGAGTCAGGACTCCTGGGTTATGTTTTTGGCTGTAGGGGTGGAAAGGAAATGGGAGGAGGCAGTGGTTGGAGACTGGGGGGATTGGTGGGCATTGGAATTCCTGGGTGCTGCCACATACTGAGACCATGGCCATGGACGTGCCTTCTCTTCACTGTGTGCCCTGCTGCAGCCCAGGACTGGAAGGGCTGTCAGAAGAGTTTGAGCTGTATTAATGGACATGTGGAGGTGCTTTCAAGAGGACTGGCAGGCCGCAGGGCTGGGCCACCTGAGAACTGATCCCCTACTTCCCAGCCAGCACAAAGGGCTGAGATCTGGGGCTGTGGGGTGGAGAGGCCAGCTTGGGAGGGTGCTCCAGGGAGATGTCTGGGGCTGGGAGGATTTGAGTCACTACCAAGAATATTCTTGCAGCAGCAGGACAAAGTCTTCTCCCTAGTGCCCTCTCCTGCTGCTTGTCAACCACCCTGGGGCTAGTGCTGAGAGTGCTTTGCCTGGGAACTGGACTGCTGTGAGCAGTGTCCTTCACTGTTGAATGTCCCCATCTCTGAAGCATCGCTGCTGACCCACCTTATCTTCTGTCCTATGTAACTGAGGGTCTAGCAGGCACTGCTTTGTGCCAGACAGTGCCTCTTTTTGGTAGATCATAGGGATAACAGCTAGGGACTACAGACCAGGGATGGGTGCTAGCTGGGAATCTCCAGTGTGAGAAACCCCCACTAGGCATGGGGGATACAGCCCACCAAGCCACAGAGGCCTCACTCTCCTTTTTGGTCCTCTGTGCTACAGAGCTCTGTGGTGGCCCTGCCCCTGAACTTGTCAGGAGCGCGCTGCACCCAGGACATGGAGTATACAAAAAAGACCAACTGCTTCAGGCTACAGTGAGTAACCAGAACAGGGCAGTTCCCCACAGCTTCTTACAGGATGGGCATTCCCACTGTTGCAGCACCCCTTGGTGGCAGAGGCCAGGGTTGGAACAGCTTTAAGGTTTCTGTGCCTTAGAGACTGTGGAGCTTGCAGATCATGTAGGGTCATTCAGCAGGCAGCTCAGCTGAAGTGCCAGCTGCTGAGCCATGAGGACCAAACTCAGATGCCTGGGGTGGGGCTCCTTTGTCCTGAGTCATAGAGCATAGTTTCTCAGCCTCTGATACGCATACCCCTGGGGGTACACAAGACACAGGCAGGGGGTATGTGGGTATCCCAACACTCTCTCTCTCACCTTCTTTTCCTCTCAAAACTGTGGCAAAATATTTAAATTCCCCAGTAATAATTTGTTGCAGGAGTGTAGGTTGTAGTCATGTTGGTCTAAGGACATAGGCAAATAGGCAGATTTGGGTTGGTCTAATAAAAAATATCAGATTCACCCAAGGAACCTTGTCTGCTAGTAATAATAATAATAATAATAATAATTTGGCATTCAGCCCTCCTAGCTTTGGGCAACATCACCTCCAGCCCAGGTGCATACTTGAGTTGTGCACCCCTGGTGTAAAAGGTGGCAACCCTACCCACACCAGATCAGATATCTGTCATATCATGGCCTTATATACAGAGCCCTTCTTCCAACATATAGCACACATTAGTCTGTAAATATGAAATCCCCTGGAAAATTGAGTGTTGGGGTACTTATTAAAATTTTCAGAAATCAGGGGGTACTTGCTACTTAAAAGGTTGAGAAACACTGGCATAGAGTATGTGAAATCGGGGGGGGACGAGGAGTGGGGGGGGGGGGGGGGGGGGGGGGGGGGGGGGGATGATCCCATCCCTCTCTCCCTTTGGCCCCCAGGCTGCTGGGAAGTGGGGTGGCAGGGACCACTGTGTCTGCAGCCCATTTCATTATTCCTACTGACTCGCTCTTGCCCTCAGTCTGCGGGATGGCTCCGAGTACCTCCTGAGAGCTCCATCCCAACCTCTCATGAATGAGTGGGTCTCCAAACTGCAGCAGAACTCAGGTGAGGCATGTTCTGACCACCAGCAGGGCATGAGATGATGAAGGGATGGAGCTAAGGTGTCTACTGAGCACCCCAGAATTCAGAAGATCCCCGGGGGGGGGCAGGAATACACCCCTGACTCCCTCAGCCAATCAGCAGTGAGAGTTGGGGCCACTGGGCCCTAAACAGCAAGTGAAGGGGCCACAAAAAGGCCACCTCCCTCCCTGGCTGGCTGCAACCCTGCTCCTCTTGGCTGTGCATTGCCCTTCCTGTAAGCACAGCCAATAGAATCTTGAGGACAAATGATTGACATGTGTTTCCACCAATGAACTGAAAAGCAGGACTTTTTGTAGTCTGGTCCTTGTTTAGGTACAGGGGACAAAGGGTTTAAAAACAGGATGTTCCAGTATAAAACAGGACCAATGACCACCCTAGATGGAGCAGACAGTGATGATGAGAGGAAACACTGACAGAGCAGGGGGTGGGGAGCCTGGAGCTGGAATGGCGGGGTGTCTGCAGACTGGACAGAGGAAGACCGGCAGAGCTGTGGGGCACCCACACTGCACCTTCATTCCCTCATTTTCCCCATACCAGCTGTTCCCTATTGTAGTCTGTTCACACCTAGTATTATGAGAAGGGCAGTAGTATGCGTGTGACTTATGTACAAGCTGACAGCTTGTCCTGGGCAGCTGCAGCTCTTTGATGAGGAAGAGTTGAAGGCTTGATTTTTAACCACACATGCACTGGTCTGAATCAAAAGTGACGCCACTGGAGTCAGTGGATTCCCACTAGTCTAAAAGTGATGTAAAGGAGTCAGGCCCCCACCCCTTCCAGTGAGACACCTATCATCTCTGCATGGAGCCTAGAGAGGCCCCATCCTGGCCTTCAGCCATTGCTGTCCCATGGGCTAAGGTCCTTCCACCAACATGATGATTGAACAAGGGCAGGGGGCTCAGACATGGCAACAAAATGGCTGGCAGGCATGAGGGAGCATCAGAGAGATCCAAGAGCAAAAGGCTTCAAGGAGCCAGCCCTGAGCCTGTGTGGGCCCCTCAGCCTGGTTGTCTCCATTGGATATAAAGCGATATGAAACACCTGTTTGTTCAGGACCTTTCCTCCTCTTACTGTGGGGGATGCCTGAGAAACAGTGAATTCCCCCCAAGCACCACCTGCCCGCCACCCCACGCACACTCCAGGTCAAGTAGCAGAAGGGAATTTCCAGACTCCTTGTAGTGCCATGCTCCAGACCCAACTGTTTTGCTTTGTGTAGACAGTCCCATACGGGCTGCTCTGGCTGCGCCTGTCAGAGCTGACCTTAGGGCCCCTGCTCCCCTTCGCTCTGCAGGGGCACTGAGGACCCCTGGGTGCTCTCTGCAACCACTGGAGTTTGACGCTTTGCCAGCTACTTTAGCAACTGATTTCTGCTTTACCCACAGGTTTCCCCGAAGTGGATTATTTCCAGGCAGCCGTGCAGCCTGCAGAGGGTACCAGCTCTCCGATGAGGCAAGTAGCAGGATGCCTCAGGCAGTTGCTGAACTGGTGGGGGCTAAGCCCAAGTGTTCAGAGCCAGCCAGGCCAGGTCTGGGCTTTGTGGCTGGAGAGTGCTGTGCTGACCATACAGAGCCATTCAGGCAGTATCTCTAACCTCTCCATCTCCTGCTGGTTTATAACTCCCCCTCTCTGGGGTCTGCAGCTCCTCCCAGTGGACACTCTCTTCTGTGGTCACCAAGGTCATCTCTCAATCATTTTACCAATAAATAAGCCCCTAATAAATAAGCTGCTAATGAAGCCAGATCACTACAGCACACACAAATTTTCTCCTGCACTGGGAACCCCATGGTAGAGTCCCTGTCCAAGCTGGCATGGATGGAGCTTGTGAGTGAGGTTTCCTGGGCCTGAGGTGAGCAGACCTTCTCTGCAAGTGAGTGACTAAATCTCTCTCTCCACCACTTCCTTTCATATCCAGCAGCTCCCACCTCCAGGGACACCATCAGCCTGTTACAGCCAAGAGCCAAGAGATCACGCTGCTGCCCAGGTCAAGTGCCAGGATGCACCTGCCTTTTGGAAATCTGGAGGACCTACAGGACTCTGCAGCATCACTGGCCGGTGAGCATGTGCAGCCGCTTCTTAGCACCCTGGCCCATGAGACATCTGTGCCTCAAGTGCTTCAGTCTCCCTCACTCCGTGTGTTGGAGTAGGACCTCTCACCTTGCTCTGCTGCTGCATCCTGGGTAGATGAATCCACAATAGACCCCTGGTAGAACCACAGGTCCCAGCATCTCGCGTCCTGTGTGCCTGTCAGGCTCATTCTCAGTTGGGACAAATGTTAAGCAATTTGCTAGTGAATCCAGCCATTTTGGGGATGGGGGTGGTGGGGGGAGAGAGAGAGCTAGGAGCACAGGCAAGCAGAAGACTCCTATGCCCTCTGGACCTCTGTTTAGCTGAAGATGCACAGTGGAATTGCCCAAACTGGCAATTCCAGGCCCCAAAGTAACCTTCCCCTCCCTCACTCCTGCTCCTGTGGGAAGTCCCTAGGATGAGCACAAGTGGCCAAGACCTCCATCTTGTCTAAAAGACTGGCAGTACTGCCATGCCCCTGGCACTGTACTGTGGCATGGTGGATAGTGCTGACGCAGAGGGGAGTGTGCTCCTACCAAGCCAAGCAGAGCCCCTCCTGGGCTCTGTACTGCCTTAGGGGGAAGCCCCTACGCCCACCCCACTCCCTCCAGCACCTCAACACTAGACTTGCCTCTGTCCATGATACTGGTCTGTCCCACCCGTAACTGAGCCAAAAACAATCAGTCTTCCCTCTCACAAACCCTGAGCAGCCTTGGCTCACTGCTGCTGAGGGACGATGGATTGATCCTGGTGATCCTGGTGATTGATCCTTAGGACAGGCCCTAAGGGTGACCCTGGAACCCCCTAGGACCACCCTAATTTTGCCTGTACTCCAGGTCCTCCATATACTCCCCTTTGATCTCACCAGCCATGCCTTGATGTTCTTTCTATCTTGTTCGGGAGGCTGTCCCCGAGTCCTTGCTCAGTTGAAACTGCTCATGCCCTGCTGACACTACTTAAACTTGGTGGTCGCCACTCATGACCCCCTAATTAAACCTTAAGGGCTCTAATCATGGTCTCCAGCCCCACCCCTCCGACACATCCATGCCTCAAAAGGTGTCACTCTGTTGTCATCCATCTTCCTGTACAGACTTCAGACCTTTTGGCCTAGCCTACTAGTTACTCTGACTGTAGACTTCTAGCCATGGCCCACTTACTCTGGCCCAGCTTCTCAGCCTCAGTCTCTTCCCCTTCTCTCTCTCTTGGGATCAGGTTCTGGCCCCCTTGGCCTCAGCCCATCTCTGTCTTGCCCCTAGCCATAGCAGGGCCAAACCTGGACTTTCAAGCACTTGTACATGGCCTTCTAACCATCCCTACAGTCACAAGTCAGTTCTCCAGTTTAAAATGCAACACAAACATAAGCAAACTGCCTCTAACAACACCCCCAAAGCCCCTCTGGGCTACCACACTGCTTCCAAAGCCGCCTCTCCACTCACTGGTTCTCTTAGATCTGGGAGTACCTGACCTGGCTTGCAGCTTCTGCTCCTTTCCTGCCTGAGCTAGCAGGAGCTCTTTTCCTCATAGACTTCAGGGCTGCACTGGCTCCTTTATTTCAGGAACCCAGTTTATGTCTCCTGAGCCCCTCCTCTTCTGGTCAGATGTTCTCCTGACTGACCGCAGGTGTGCTTTTCAGCTGGTTCTGTGGCTTAGCTGTGGTTCTTCTGCTGCTGCCTATCCAGGGCTGTGCCCTACTGTCCTACTGCTAGGCAGCTAGCCATGCACTAGGCACTTGCAACCTATCGGTCCCTGGGTGTCTATTCTTCTGCAGCTAGCCCGTGTTCAGCTGCTTGCTCCTACCTGTAGATCTACCTGTTGTAGTAAGAGAAGCCTCTAGCTCCCTGTTCCACCTGGGTCCCAGAAATTAAAAGGTCCCTGGGGCACTCCCACTGCTGTCCTCAGTCTGCTGGGATAACACGCACTGTCTACATGTCCCAGGGCTCATCAGGATGGTGGTGATGTAGAATTTGTGTCAGAACAGCCTGCTCCTAAGCCCTTGTCCATGTGTTGATGTGACAGGTATCCAGTCTGGGCCGACCTTAATGTCACCCGCACACCTGTTCCTGGGGCAACCACCCGCCTACTCGCCTGCCATGCCTTGTTCTTAATTGATTAACTGGTGTTAATTAGCGGGAGGCTGCCCTTGTACTACCCCGCTGCTAGGGGGCGCTATCTGCGGCTCCGTTTCCTCCCCTACACCGCAGTCCACACCTCACCGATGGAATCGCCGTTGTCTCAATTCTATCACTATTTGGCCCCTTCCTGTTCTCCCTGGGCCTTCCTTCTCCATGCCTACACTTGGGCTTCCTAGTAATGCTGCCCCCTATCTGGGGCTCGCCGTGCCCACACTTGGGCTTCTCAATAATGCTGCCCCCTATCTGGGGCTCACGGTGCCCAACTTGGGCTTCCCAATAATGCTGCCCCCTATCTGGGGCTCACAGCACCCACACTTGGGCTCCTCAATAATGCTGACCCCTATCTGGGGCTCGCCGTGCCCACACTTGGGCTTCCTAATAATGCTGCCCCCTATCTGGGGCTCACCGTGCCCAACTTGGGCTTCCCAATAATGCTGCCCCCTGTCTGGGGCTCACCGTGCCCACACTTGGGCTTCTCAATAATGCTGCCCCCTATCTAGGGCTCACCGTGCCCAAACAACAATCGGTCCTACCAGTGACCCTTTAACTCTCAGATGCAACCCCTGCATCAGGTTTCCCCTCTCTCCCAGGGCAGAGAGCTCCTTCCTCTTTGGTAGCTGGCAGGGAACTCCCTCTGGCCTCCTGTCTGTGCTTTATATAGGAGCCAGGCCCTGCCCCTTTCAGTCAGCTGACCTCCTGGTTGCCCCGGCAACCCACAGCTGGGCTCCTTAGTCACTGCTAGGGCTCCCTCCCTAGCAGTTTCCCTTCTTCAAGAGCAGGGCACCTCAGTGCTGTGTGACACACCTTCCCCCTTAAGATCCCGACTCACTGAGGCGGATCTTCATTCTTGTTAGGTCGCATTCCCCCATCTTGTTTCTCTTGTGCTCTTGCGCTGGCCCACCGACATTTCCAACGTTTAGAGGTGGAGGTTTTTAGGTGCCTCCTACTCACCTTTTACCCAAGGTGTATCATGTGGGATTTTACGGGAGTTGCCCCGCCGCAGGCAGTCCCCCCACACTAGCTGACCTCGGTAGGTTGCAGTCCCTGTCAGTCAAGCTCTCGCCTGTCTTTCAGGGTTTCTTCTCCCTTTCACTTCTGGCCCATCTATCTTCCACCCCTACATGCCCTGGTCTCTTTCTCCATGCAGGTTGTCTGATCTCTTGTTTTTCTATGGTTCTCTGCAGCCCCTGAAGCCTTCCCCAAATCTCCCACTGTCTCTCCAATGCCCTCTGGGTATATTCTTCTCTCCAAAATTCTATCTTCGCCCGGCCGGTAGGTCTTCCCCTCGGCCCTTTGTAAATCTTTACATAGGCTACGCCTCCCACCCTCGCTTCAATTACTTCCCTCAGGGTCCACCATTTGACTCGCCCTGCAAGGTTATTAACGTAAACACATGGCCGTCTTCTTCCCCTTTGTTCTTTCTCCAGCCGAATTTCCTTCATAGTTGAGGGGTCTTTGGCCTCCTTAGCTTGGCCTGCAGTCTGGATTCGGCATGGTCTCTGCTTCAGTGCAGGGCTGGGCATCTCAGCCTTAGGATAGAGCATAGGATGTACTTCTCCTCCCCCCTTAATTTCCCTGGGGTTTTGACCCCTCCTGCCCATCTCAGGCCTTTGGGTCTCTCTTTTACTTCAAGCTTCTACTGCTCTCTTCCCCTTGGAAACTGTATCTGTTCTACCCTCTACCAGAGTTGGGGCCATCTTTGGTCTCCGGCCTTTTTGTTTTGGACATTGCTCCTTTTGAATCTGGCTATGATAGCTCAGGTCACAGTTCTTGTTTCTCCCACTGATCTGTTCACTCTCTTGCATCAATGCCACATCCCCCTTATCTCTCTCCATCTGTTGTCCCTGTTTTGGTATTGCCAATCTTTCAACCTCATACTAGCCAACAAGTTTCTCTAGTTTCTCTCCCAGGCAGTTCATGTCTTCCGTGTACTGGCTCACCCACTGCCCCCATTTCCGATCTAGGCATTCCATGACTGTGGAGATGATCTCTTCCCGAATCATTGTGGGGTCTACCTCTGAGAGTGCCCCGCTCCTTGTACTCTTTTCCTGCTGCCTTGCTTCTTCTTCTTCTCCAGGGGTTCTCAAGCCCACCATGTTGGATTGCTTCTGATATCTCAAGGTCTTTAGAAGCGCGGGCTGTGCAGTCTCTATTAGTTTTTCGGTGCCTAATAACACCTCTTTCAAACTTTCAAGTTCCTGAAGGTGCTCCTCGCATCCTACCTTAGCCTTGGATGCATGTTCTTCCAACTGCTGGCTTATTGCAGTCAGTCTCTCACTCTGTATTTGAGCAGCCTGTACCGGTTGTTGCTCGATCTCTCCTCGCCAAGCCTTCTCCCTGGCCGTGCTCTCTTTTAATAGGGTCTTCAGGGACTGGATCTCTTCCCCCAATTGGTCCTTTTCCTTTTCTACTTCTTGCCATCAAGCCTGCAACTCTACACACTCCTCGGTGCTGGCTCTCACCTCCATTTCAAGGAACTGGTTCTGTTCCTGTAGCACTTTAATTCCTTCCTCCAAGGCCTGAATCTGTTGCCTTGAGGTTTTCATTTGCTGCTATGACTGCTCCCTCTCTGTGTTAGTCACTGCCTCTTTAGCTGAGCTCTCTTCTAAGGGGGCTTTAAGGCACTGTACCTGATCTCCCAGGTAGTCTTTTTCCGCCTCCGCACTCTGCAGCTGGGACTGCAACCTATAATGCTCTCTTGCTCTGTCCTCTAACTCCCTTTCAAGGGACTGGTTTTGCTCGCACAGCACCTCATAATTGGCCATGTATGCCTTTACCTTTCCCATCTCCCGGGCAATTACCTTCCCATTTTCTTCAGTCTGAGCCTGATTTTCACACAATTTGTCCCGCAGCTCTTGAGCTAGTTGCTCTGCCCGTAAATACTTCTGCCACCAGACCTCCACCTCGTCCTGCAATTCCTCTATGCGTCCCTCCTGGCTGCGGACCTCTCTCTGTAGGGCGCCTATTAGGCCTCTTGACATCCCCCTCTGCATCTTCTTTAATGTCGGTTTCCCTTGCAGGTCTGTGTTGCCGTTGCCTTTCTATACACCTTCCTCGGTTCTTGTTTTAGCCCTAGGGTTCGTCTTTCCCTCCTCAGGAACACAGGTTCCTTACCCGTGCACGGCCTTACATTCCCGGCCAATGCACCACTGTGACAGGTATCCAGTCTGGACCGACCTTAATGTGGCCTGCACACCTGTTCCTGGGGCAACCGCCCGCCTACTTTCCTGCCACGCCTTGTTCTTAATTGATTAACTAGTGTTAATTAGTGGGAGGCTGCCCTTGTACTACCCCGCTGCTAGGGGGCGCTATCTGCAGCTCCATTTCCTCCCCTACACTGCAGTCCACACCTCACCGATGGAATCGCCGTTGTCTCAATTCTATCACTATTTGGCCCCTTCCTGTTCTCCCTGGGCCTTCCTTCTCCGTGCCCACACTTGGGCTTCCTAGTAATGCTGCCCCCTATCTGGGGCTCGCCGTGCCCACACTTGGGCTCCTTGATAATGCTGCCCCCTATCTGGGGCTCACAGTGCCCAACTTGGGCTTCCCAATAATGCTGCCCACTATCTGGGGCTCACGGTGCCCACACTTGGGCTCCTCAATAATGCTGCCCCCTATCTGGGGCTCACCGTGCCCAAACAACAATCGGTCCTACCAGTGACTCTTTAACTCTCAGATGCAGCCTCTGCATCAGGTTTCCCCTCTCTCCCAGGGCAGAGAGCTCCTTCCTCTTTGGTAGCTGGCAGGGAACTCCCTCTGGCCTCCTGTCTGTGCTTTATATAGGAGCCAGGCCCTGCCCCTTTCAGTCAGCTGACCTCCTGGTTGCCCCTGCAACCCACAGCTGGGCTCCTTAGTCACTGCTAGGGCTCCCTCCCTAGCAGTTTCCCTTCTTCAGGAGCAGGGCACCTCAGTGCTCTGTGACAGTTGGTCTGTCTATCTTGCCTACATGAGCTCCTTTCTTACTTTTCCCTTGCTAGGAGATAGTCAGAGAGCCAACAGCCAGATGACAGGGCACAGGCGGTTCCAGTGGTCGCCAACAGGATCTCCAAGGTCACAGGATGCAAACTACCAGAAGGAAGACTATGCCCTCTTAACCAACAAGAGGAGGTCCTACTCATTCACCTCAGGTACACAGCGTGGGAAGAACAGGATCAGGAGCTCTGGTCCCATGTCTCTGGAGTGCTCTCCATTGCAACTTGTGGGCCTCTGGTTCTCCCTCAGCAGTGCAGACCCACCTTCCCAGGGGGTTGCATATGCAAAGGGTGCTGAACAGAGAAGGTGAGAGTTTTGATTGGCTGGCTGTGCCTGGATGCTACCCATGACTGGTACTCTACTTAGGGATGGTAGGGATGGGCTGAGATCCAGGCCTCTGGGGATCCCAGCAGGCGCCCTGATCTGGAAGGGGTTTTGCCCAAGGCTGGGGATGTGACTTGCTTTTGGTTGAACTCATTCTGAGGTGGGAACAGGGTGAATACCTGTTACACAACATGGCTTAAAGGACCCATTCACCATGCTGTGAAGTAGCCGAGCTGCCATGGCTGGCTGCTGGATGTTGGCTGGGCTCCTGTGACTAAATGCAGCATCATTATTCCAGCTAAACCCCAGGCTTTCCTGGGGATTTGAGACCTTTCTATTCAAGGTCGCAATTCCATTGCCGATGGCTACCACCAGATGGCACCAACGCCCTTCGCCTCTCAGGAAAACACCTGCAATACAGAGGAGTCTGCTCAAGGCAGCTTGTGAGACTGCCCCCAAAATAAACTGCAACACTCTGATCCCATTCCTGGACAGTCCCCTGTGCACAGCACCAGTTTGGAGCTGGCACCATGGAAGTGACTGACCCCCTGTGCCCCTTTCTTGGGCACCCCTGTTGGTTCAGTGAGGTTGATATTACTGTGGGAAGTAGCAACCCACCCAGTGCTCTGTCTCTTTCAGCCACCTACCAGAAGATCACGCCAGTGTCAGTACCCAAGGAGCCTTTGGAGCCTGGGAGCAGCTATTCCATTACGCTGTACATTGGGGAGCAGGCCATGCCCAGGGCTCGCTGCCACTCCTTCGTGGCTACACCAGGGAGCCCCCGGGACGTGCTAGGGGAGAGGGGCCAGGGCCCCGCTCCTCGCCCCAAGAACAAATCTGTCTTCAAGAAGTTCTTCGGGAAGAAAGAATGAGCCCAGGACAGGGGAACGCAGGCCAGAACTTGCCCATGTTTCTTCCTGCTGGGCCTGCCAGCTTGTGAACAGGAGCCTTCCTCACAGGAACTCTCCAAGCACCCGCTCACTGCAGGCACCAAACCCACAGGGCTTGCTAACTCCCTACCCCCAGGGCTGGTGGGAGTGCAGAGGCAGAGATCTCTGCACTGATGGACTCTGCTTACACACAGCCCCAGCAGAAAGCTGCACCTCACCTCCCCACAGGAGCAGCCACTGGGAAGGCACACTAAACAGGCACTTGGCATGGTGGGCTGTAGGAGGGGAAGCCATGCTGCCTTTTTCAGGCCCTTCTCTTGGAGCATGTAGGGTCAGGTCTCTGTGTGACACTGAAGCTGATGGAGCCAGAGAGACTCTACCTTGTGCACAGGGTAACCCAGCAACCTGTTCCCCAAGCACCCTAGTGCAGGGCGGAGAGTAGGGAAGAGTGGGATTATTTTTATTAAAGGCACACAGAACAATCTTGAAGTCTCTTCATCCAGTTTATGTCCGTGCAGGGAATGGACTCGGTGACCCTTGAGGTCCCTTCTAACCTTATGATTCTGTGACTCCTCCTTCCCTTGCTACCGCCAGGGCCTGTGCCACCTGGGACAGGAGAGTTGCCCTGGGCTCTGAGTGCTGTTCCACAGGGTTAGGCAGAAGAAGGGGTTGCTTGGGATGGGATTCTCCTGGCTCCATCCTGGGGAAGCCTACCCTGGACAGGGATGGCAGGGGCTTGGGGCTCTCATCTTGGGGCTCTCACCCTTCTCACTAAGAGGCTTGGGCTCAAAGTGCTCCTCATGCGTCGCAGATGGTCGCTTAGCACTGAGCCACCAAGCTAGGGACTATGGTAGAGGTCACCAGACCCTCCTTCTCTTGGGAGCAGGTAGGAGCTCCCTGCTCAAAGGCCCTTCAGAGGGGACACAGCCTTGAAAAGAGGCTGTCAAGTTCCTGCCCTGCCAGGTTTGCCCCCAGCCCTTGCTGGGGAAGGGGCTGTGGCCCAGGCCTAACTGGCTCATTTCATGCAGAGGAACTGGAGCCAGAGGCAGCTCTTGCTTTTCACTCATCCACCTCCCAGACAGGGGAAATACCATGACCATGATGGTGGCATGGGAAGTACCCTGACCAAGATAATGCAATTAAAATGGCATTGTGTAGTTGAGGGTTGCACCCTTGATGCTTGCAGACAGGACTCCCTATGAGAGCCTCATAATTAACTTCCCACTGGCCATCTTCCAGTGGGAGGGTCTTGGCTACATGCCGACTTTATGGAAATGGGAGACTCCTCCCTAGGTTGCTCCTGCAGCCATACAGCTGAAGGCAAGCAAAACTTGGGGGCATCCCAACCCCAAGTCTCCAGGTTTGGGCCTGCATGTAGGATGCCTGCCAAAAGATTTGGAAGCATCTGAAGCCCCAGGTCGGGGTGGAGGATGCTTGCCGGTAGCAGGACCACATATGGTTCTTGAATGATTCACAGATTTGGAATTGATTTGGCTTGGGACACGAAAAATGTTTCCTAAAAAAAAATCCACCTCCCAGACAGACCCTAGGTGAGGGTTGTCTGAGGGGCCAGTAGCACTCTGCATCTGAGTGCATTCACCTGTTTTGCACTGAATTCAGTGGGCTGCACTGGTTTCTAGTGACTCCTAATCCCACCAGAACTGAGCAGGGCCCAAGGGGTGCTAGTAGGCTTCCTGGGCTGCCATGCAGAATGTATAGGCATCAGACAGGGATGGAGGAAGGCTGCTCCAGGGCAAGAGTGAGAAACATCACAGTAACGGGCTGTCTCCAGTCAGTACTGGGGCTCCAAGCCCCACTCTCCCACACCCTACTCCAGTTTCCTTGTTGAAGTTGAGCCAGAATTGGATTTACAGTGCTTTCAAATCCCTGGGAATGCCCTGGCACCAAGCAGACACAGGGCGTCTGAGGGCCTGGAGGTCAGTACTTGTGGTTAGAGGCAGACCCTGCTGACGTGGGAGTTCACATCTGCTCTAGTTCCCATTGTCCTGCAGCACCATAGCCATTACCCCTTGCTCCCTGGAGCACAGGGTCAGGCGAGGAGGCAACCATGTTGTACTAGCGTGCAGTACTGCAGCAAGGGCTGAGGTAGATCTGGGCCTGTTAGATTTCTGGGGCATCTGGTTTTTGGCACATTTCGCAAAGGGGATAGATAAGCAAGTGAATTGCAGCTTCTCATGAGTGAGCAGGTGCAACTCTAGGGAACACAGTACAAGAGGGCCACTGGGCCCTGTTCAAACAGCTAGGTAGGCCATTCCTATCCAGTCCTCACCTAGCAGTAAGGGTGATCCTTTCTTACTGCTCTCTTGTTCCTCTTTGTGTTGAAAAAGGGCTGACCTCTGCCCAGTTTTCAGGGACGTGGCCCAAGACCCCAGCCAAAACTAGTACTGGGCTGCACTAGCTTCCAGTGACTCTTGATCCCACCAGAGCTGAGCAGAGTCTAAGGAGTGCTGGTAGGCTTCCTGGGCCACCTTACTGGCAGCCATAGCCATCAAGCTGTGGGCTGGCTGGGCCTTAGAGACCAGGCTGTCCTCTTCCCCAGGAAAAGACATGAGACACCTTGGCAGGAGCTTGAGTCCTAGTGCCTGGGCTGTGCCAGTCTGAATCTAGAAGGTTTCAGTTTTTAGGGCTCAGCCTGGCACCCCTGGTGTGACATCCCTGACCTTTCAGGGTACAGGGAGGCTAAATCTCAGCTCAGGGTTGTCCCTGCCATACTCCACTCTCTTCCCCTCCCCTGTTGGCTCTGACTCTGCTGGCTCCTGGGCCAGTTTGCTTGCTTTGTTTCTCTCCAGAACCAAAGTAAATAGTGCATCTAAGCTGCTTTAATGGGAGCAGGGCAGCAGAGACAGCTTCTCTTCCTGCAGAAAGCACCTTGCTGCCCCCGGGCATGGGGAAGGGGTTGGGAGGAAGAGGAAGAAGAAGCTGAGATGAGGAGCTCCAGGCCTTCATCTCAACTGCACAAGACAGCTGGCCAGTAGTGACCCAGCATCATCCTGTGCTTGCCCAGGAGCCAAAATGAGGGACACAGTGGCTCCAAGACAACCTTTCTCATCCCACAATCCTCTGCACAGCGGACCAGGTCTCAGCACACCCAAAAGCCTGCAAGAGTTGCGGGTGACTCAGCAGCAGCAGCAGCAGCATGAGCACAGGGGGTGCAGTGCCACGGAGAGTACCAGAGAGGGGTGGGAGCATGGGGCTCTCTCCACTCTGGCCCTTCACTGACCCTGCTGTCCTGCTCAAGAATCACCTGGAGGCCCTGCCTATTTGCCCCCACTTGGATCCCCTGCCCTTGCCTCCCAAGGCCTGGCACTTGAACTCAGCTGTGCTGAGAACTGCTGACAAATCTCCCTTGTAGTTTCTCTGGAAGAATCACTTCCCCCCACTAATCCGTCTGTGCAGCAGCCTCCACCTGCTGAGCCAGCGGGGGCCCTGCCGAGCCAGTCTCAGCCGGCAGCAAGACTAGGAAATCAGCCTGATGGCACAGAGCAGGGGAGAGCTGAGCTTGGCTCCAAGCAGCCCCGCAACCCAGCCACACTGGGGCAAGGAGATCTCCCTCCTGTGAGTACCCCTGCCAAAGAGAAATTGGGTCAGGCAGAGAAATGGGGAGGTGACAGCATCAGTGGCACCTCAGCCTTGAAGCAATGGACATGTGGGATGGAGAAAGACAAGGGAGCAGGGGCAGAGCTGTGAGCTTTGTGGGGCAGGATGCCACATCTTGCACACCCTGCTCTGGAGCCAGCGTCCGTCCTCTCCTAGTGGAAACATGGCTTCTTGGGGTTGGGGCGACTCCAGGCTTGGAGACCTCCAGCCAAAGAGCTGCTCTGAGCGCACAGGGGGCTGGCCAGCTGCCTGCCTCCACCCTGGGACAGAGGTCTGAGTTGAGTGCTGCAGCCTCCCAGCCTAGCATTTGAGCTGGCCTCTGCCATATGGGGAAGTGAAAAGGCTCCCAGGGAAGAGAGGGTCAAGAGCAGCACAATCAAGGTGGGCGGCTGCTCTGATCTGCCTCCTGCTCCCAGGGCATCCCTGGCCTCTCCAAGCAAAGCATTGAATCCCAAAGACTCCTACCCTGCTGTCACCACCTGGCTCTGGCCGATAGCCCCACAGGGTTTGGCCTGGCTCAAGAGATGCTTTCTAGCATGGCAGTCAGCTCCTCCCAGACAGGGCTAGGGCTGCAATGCTGCTGGGAAACAAGGATAGACACATGGAGCTAGGCCTCTGGCCCCTTGAACCCACCAAGGTGCTGGTTCTGGGTCCACAGCACTATGCTCTGCCGTCCTTCCAGTTGGAGGAGCCTGTGCAGAGCTGCATGGGAGGTGAGCCCAGGACAGGGATTCATAGATTCATAGATGTTAGGGTCGGAAGGGACCTCAATAGATCATCGAGTCCGACCCCCTGCATATGCAGGAAAGAGTGGAGAGAGTGCTGGGTCTAGATGACCCCAGCTAGATGCTTATCTAACCTCCTCTTGAAGACCCCCAGGGTAGGGGAGAGCACCACCTCCCTTGGGAGCCCGTTCCAGACCTTGGCCACTGTAACTGTGAAGAAGTTCTTCCTAATGTCCAGTCTAAATCTGCTCTCTGCTAGCTTGTGGCCATTATTTCTTGTAACCCCTGGGGGCGCCTTGGTGAATAAAACCTCACCAATTCCCTTCTCTGCTCCCATGATGAACTTATAGGCAGCCACCAGGTCGCCTCTCAACCTTCTCTTGCGGAGGCTGAAAAGGGATAGCAGAGGCAGGCGAGGCCTAGGGTGATCACTATCCTTGGCAGGGGGCGAAGGTTGCCCAGCACATTTCTGCAGTGCCAAGGCTTGGGATTAGGTGAGCACTAGGACCTGGCGAGCTCCCTGCAGGCTCTGTAGGCTGATCCCAACACCAGCAGAAGCAGCCAGCCTGAGATCAGGTTAGGAGACAGCGCTGAAGCCAGCTGCCAGCTGCAGGGAAACATGTAAGCAACCGCGACTGCGCCCCACGCTAGCCCCCCTCAACCCCAGGCTGAGTCTCCCACCTGGCGGGAAGGGCTCTTCTCCCTGCAGGCTCCCAGGGGGGTGGAGGAAGAGCGCATGGAGGGCATGGGGTACCAGCCCAGACAGTCAGGGAAATC